CCAGCAGGAATACCCCAACATTGTAGCTTTACAGTCATAAGCTGTGCAAATACCTAACTCGAGTTTTTTGCTTTGCTGTATTACTTAATACTGTGTATTTAAGATTAATAAGCAACAGTCACCTCCACAACACACACAAAAAATATTTGTATGGGCAGAAAATAGATACTCACTCCTCTAGAGTATACATCTATAAAATAGACACACATTTTGTTGATGGCTTAAAATCATGYACACCTGTAACCATACATTAGCATTGCCTTCAGCTCTTTGCATCCCATGGAATAATCACAAAAATAAGAAAAACACTGTGATGTATATTTGATCTCTCTGTAAAATAAGCTATTTCAATAGCTCTCTGCCTACAGAAAACATTTTCCTGCTTCTACATGTTTGTCTTTTCTTYCCTGCACCTGACTAGGTACATAATACAGCATTTTTCAAACTCTTGCTTCTGTTATTAAGGAAAAGTTAAAATGGTAACTCAGCTCCAGGCTGCTACTTCACAAAATGTTCTTACAGATGAATGTGTTCTTACAGATGAATATATTCTTACAGATTAATATATTCGGGGCTCTCCCCTCAGGAATTACAGCAATTTCCTTCTGCCCAATTCTGTTTACTTGTATTCTGAAGTGTGTTCTGAGTAACAGTGTTTTCAGACTTCTTTTTGAATGTTTTTGTGTTCTTTAGGTATCTGGCCATTGTTCACCCACTGAAACCACGCATGAATTATCAAACAGCAACCCTCCTCATTGCCTTGGTCTGGATTGTCTCCATACTTGTAGCTATTCCATCTGCATACTTTGCTACTGAAACCGTATTATATATAGTGAAAAACCAGAAGAAAAATTTCTGTGGCCAAATTTGGCCAGTTGACCAGCAGATGTACTATAAATCATACTTCCTCTTCATCTTTGGCATCGAATTTGTRGCACCTGTGATTACGATGACGTTGTGCTATGCCAGGATCTCTCGGGAGCTTTGGTTTAAAACTGTSCCAGGATTTCAGACAGAACAAATCAGAAAGAGGCTTCGGTGCAGAAGAAAAACTGTTATGGTGCTGATGTGCATCCTGACTGCTTATGTTCTCTGCTGGGCACCTTTCTATGGCTTCACAATTGTCMGGGACTTCTTCCCCACCGTTTTTGTGAAAGAGAAGCATTATCTTTCTGCYTTTTACATAGTTGAGTGCATTGCCATGAGTAACAGCGTGATAAACACCATGTGTTTTGTAACTGTGAAAAACAACACCATGAAGTACTTCAAGAAGATCATGTTGCTCAGATGGAGGTCGACGTACAAGGGAAGCAAATCTAGCACAGATTTGGACCTGAGAACAAGTGCARTGCCAATCACAGAGGAAGTAGACTGCATAAAACTAAAATAAATTCTCTGCAGTACTGTTTTGGAGAGGGCATAAAAACAAAATTATACTTTTTTAGAAGCTTCTTCCTTGTCTGTGCAAATACCCACCATTGGTGACAGCCCTCAAGAAGCAGCCTACTTTGCATTCCCACCTGAACTGTTCTCACAGGACTGATGGATAATCCCCTAACTTGGACTGATGCTGTGCTTTTACAAATGTAAATTTGGGATGCAGACACTCATTTTAGAGTTATTTAAAAACAAAGAAGTCTATGAATGCATTAGAGCATGTTACAATGATGGAAAAGTTGAATGCTGATCCTCGCATGGGTGATGTCTCTTCCCTTAGGAGAAACCTCTTAACCCTTTGAGATTATGACTTGTACCTTTGAGCTATTTGGTGTCCTTTTSTTTCTGCTCAGAAGAGAAAGGATTGCAAAAAAGCCCATTTTGTTTCTTGTCACACTTTAACCGTTCAGTGTACCCCTCATGATGAAGCTTCTTGAAGTCTACAGACCACCAGCTTTGTATTGTCCAGTATGCAGCATGCTCTTTTGAAAGGCACATGCTCTTATGAAAGGCACATGCTCTGAGAGCTAAAATCTGCTTCACAGGCTAGTGAAAACCTCAAGTCTCTTCCTGTGACACCTTGCTCAAGAATGCTTTATCAATACTCCACTCTTTAGTTTTATGGAGAGTGTTACTGTCTGTTGTGCTTTTGGAAATGGCACAGATTCACATGGAAGGGACCTCTTCATTCACCTCCAGGTACCATATGATCAGCTTCTGCTGCACTGAGATGCTGAGCTCATCACAGAATCAATCACAAAATTGTAGAGGTTGAGAATAACATCTCCACATTGTCTAGCAGACCCTTCTGCACACACAATCCTGCCCAGGATTGTGTCCCACTGGACTTTGACTGACTCCAGGGAATGCTGACAGTGTCCCTGGACCACCAGTGTCAGTGTACAACAGCTCTCACACAGGGAAAAAGTGTTTTCCTGTGCTCAGATGGAATTTAATGTGTTTTAGCTTGCTTGCCAGTGGGATCCATATAAAACTACAGCATGTTAATGGGAAAAATCCAACCAGACATCATACCAAGTCTGTGTGTACCTTCACAATAAAGGACAATCAAAGCCAAAATAACAAGGAGATCCCAAGATGATCCATTTTCTTGGAGCAAGAAAGGCTTAGGCTTCAGCAAGCCAGCTTCTTGTTGCCTCAGACATGAGGCAACAACTCTGGATGGATTTTGCATTTCTTCCCCCACTGATTACTGTTCTGATTTAGTGCAACTCCACTTTGGATGTTTCTTAACTGATAATCACAACAAAGCAGGTGACAGTAAAACCTACTCATTTCAACTACATATAAGGGACAATGGACTTCTGTGTATAGAAATAAAATATTTTCTATTGTGATGACAAATGCTTCCTGTTTTAAAGTATGTGGTTGTGYCTAATTTTGGAGTAAATGGCTTTGGTAAATAACTGTCTATTTGTGAATTTACAGTGAGCAGCAAATCCTGCCAATAAAAATGATATGGCCTCCATATCAGCATTCTGAATTGTTATTTTTTATCTTTTTCCCTTAGCCATTACTTTCTTACCCAASTGAGTAATGTGAATGATCCCGTTCCTGCTAAAGAAAAATTGACCAATTAAATTTAAAGGCCAAAGGATATTAAAATCCATTAAAGTTCTCAAAACCTCTCATCAATAGCAGCTATTAAATATATGCTGGAGAGTATTTAATAATTTGCTCTTAGGTAAAACTATTACTGAAATCATCCTTCAAAATGACACTTTTGAATAGGGGCAAGTACTAAATCCATTTGTTTTTCAACCGGGCATAGAAATTTAAAGAACCAGAGAGTTGAGGTATTTCACCATCAGAAGGCTTATCCTCTTATCTCACCTGAAATCTCATGTTCCTTCTGAAATTTTGCTCCCATATTTATCTCCTGAAACCTTCCCTAGTTATTGGAGATTGGCTAGCAATACTACCCGTTATTAGAGTGTGCTGATACTCCTTCCACCCGTTTTTTCTACATGGGTTTGGTGCAAAAAAGTCTGTGGCTGAGTTAATAAAAAAAAAAAAATTCAACCTGCACCAAGAAATATAGTACAAAAGCCAAACTGGGGGAAAGAATTGCTTCAATCACTCTGAGAGCTCCAAGAGAACTCTTCTCATTGGGCCTGACCACCATTCTCATCTGTGCCTGCCAAGGATATCAAAGCAGCATCCTGCACAGCCCCTACTGAGGRTTTAGGTTTTGGGATTGCTGTATTTTTGACATTCTGAGGTCTTCCCAGCAGTGAAGCAMTGTTRCTGCCTGAACCTCTGGATAGGGCAKAAGCCATGCTTTGCCCTAAAGTGCATTTGTTGWGAGCAGCATCCACAGAGAGGGGGATTCCCAGGGAAGGGTGACGGACCTGTTCCCTGACTGCACGAAGCAGTCACATTGCCCTCAGCCCATGTCTGCAACAACTCCAAACAGCCCAAAATGGGGCAGTTTTAGAACAATATTTTCTCCCAAACTGAGCTCCAAAAGGGAGGGACCCAGAGCCTTGCATGGTGACCAAAAGTCAATAACTACTGTGAAAACTCCCCAAGCATGCAGGCAGTGGGAACAGGCAGGACATGTCCAAAGGAGAGGACCACAGGATCCCACATTCCCTAAGCTTAGGTGAGCCACACAGGGAAGAAAAGAAGAAAAAAGGCTTTTTTGTTCTACACAACTTACTAAAGGGTAACATTTAGAGAGGGAATTTAATATGGACTGCACCTACAAGAGCCACTTGTAAACAGAATGACAAGCACAAGCTTGGAAGAAGGCAGGACCTGTCTCAGAGGAGAAGCAGGCCTTTCCAGCACAATTCCTGCCAGCTGGAAGGCAGGAAAAACTGCAGCAAGACCTCTATGGCCACCAGCTGTCCACTTTTAGCTCCAGGGGAACAGCTGCAGTAAGGATGGAGGGATAATCATGCAGGAACTGTGGGATGTTTCCTGGATGAGGAGTGGGTGGGAGTGAGGTATCCTGAGAGCCTTTGGCAACATTTAGATAACCATGCAGTGAATTAATCAGATGCCACCCTGTCTCCGTTTTGGCTAGCTCCAATTTTTACTGCCAAATGCAAAACTGTGCTGGTGCTACCACATCAGATGGAGCACAGCTCCAAAAACATAGGTTCACTTCCTCCTACAGCAGCTTYTCCAGGGATAACTTGAGGGTAAAATCCAGTCTCTGATTCTTCATGCTGGAAAACAGAAACCCAGCTGTACCTGGAAGCTAAAATGCTTACCACAAACAGCCAAGAGAGCATTAAGAGAAGAAAAAACAGATATTCTCAGCAACAGACACTGAGAAAGTCCTGAAAAGTCCATAAAATCACCTGGAGCATATATGGAAGCCTACTTGAAGCCATGCAAGAATGCTTCCCCTGCTGAACTTCAGGACTTCAACCAAAAAGGTGCCAATTTCACATGATTCCAGTCATCTGTCCAAAAATGTAGTAAAACTTTTTAACTTGTTTTCCAGGAAGCTCAAGGCAGTGATAAATGCACTGAAGGCAAGATCTTCCAACAATATTTTTAGAAATCATAGAGACACAGGCTTTACCCTCTGTATGTAACAAGTTTAATTGTGCAAAAATATAAGACTTCAGTCATCAAGASATCAGCTTTGCTGAGAATTGGACACAGTTCCAGTGATGCACACAGAAAGAAGTACTGTTTTAAYTAGAGCAAATACACCATAATTGTTGTTGAGCCAACCAAGTAGTTTGATACACTGAGATCCTGCTCTCAAGTGATGTAGACAACCTGTATTTAACTACTGTACTCAAGAGAACCAATAAAACCACAGCTAMAAGGAAAGCTGGGAGCAAAATAGTTAAGTTTAAAAGTGCATTAACTTAACAACAACAAATGGTTTAGGCTTTCTTAATGCCAGTATTTCTTTCAAGCACAGAAAGATGAAGTTTTTTCAACCTTTAAAACTATTTCAAAATAGTTTGAAATGAGACACCAATGGTATTGACAAAAAAAAAATGATGAGAAAATAAACGAAAACCAAAATTTTTCAGAGCTCTATCCTCTGAGCCATGACTTAATGAACACCACACCAGCCCCAAAATAATACATATGGACAAGAAAGACATTAGAGAATCCCTTCACCGCCATTAATATCTTAATGTAGTGCCTGCATCACGGAGAAAAAAAAATTCAAACCATTTCTCTCTGTTGTGCAACCATATTTTAACACTACCACACTGKACATTCATAAGGCTGTCCTGAGCAGCTATTTTTTGTTCCTAACAAATCTATGTGCTTCTTTCACGGGTGTCTCAACATCTTCGTWATCCTTTTCTTCTGAACTTGGTTCCCAGTCTGAGTCTTCATCAGTAGGTTCGCACTCCTCCTCCTCCTCATCTGTAAAGCTGTCTTTGAGGTCATATTCATTGGCTTCACCATCATTGGCACGGTCCTTCTCCACAGCCTTCCTTCCTGTAGGGACAAAAATGTCATGTGTTCATGAATAATACATGCAGTGCTCAAAATCTCTTCCAGAGCCCACACAGTAAAGCCTCTCTCCTCAAGAGGAGAAAGATAACAACACATATATCTTCCAGTTAAGCCTCTAGCTATTCCTAGATAGCTACTTTGACCCGAGATTTTCTGCCTCCATCCATCCATCCATCCATCCATCCATCCATCCATCCATCCCTGTCCATCCATCCATCCCTGTCCATCCATCCATCCATCCATGCATCCATCCATCCATCCATCCATCCATCCATCCCTGTCCATCCATCCATCCCTGTCCATCCATCCATCCATCCATCTTTTATATTCTTAATCTTTGGAAGCTGATACGACTTTTAATTCTTACTCACTTCTTTCCTGAGCTTCAGATAAGAGAAGGAAATCTTTGAGATTACTCAGCTCCTACATTCTCCACTTGCATTCATGCTGGATGGTCTGTATTTCCCTTCTGAGTGTCATTTCCACTGCATTTTGGCAGATGTGTGTAACCTGTGCTCTAATGGTCTGTGACAACTCATCTCCAATGTCCAAAAATCCTAACTAACCATGGCCTGTTAATATTCCAGTCATGTCTTATTCTGTCCTTAAGTCACATCTCTGAGTAAAATCATGTTCATTCCTCTTTCTCCCACCCTCCTATTTTTTAATTTTTATCTAGAGATAACCTCTCAATGATATCGGTATGGATAACTTATCTGTTGAGCAGTTGCCACCTGTTTTCATAAGAAATCATGAATATGTATTTTTTATTTAGCTACAGACCCCACTCAAAATCCTAACTGTTTATGTGAACCATATGCACTTCTCAGCATTCTTGAAGCCTCAGGTCAGAGCTCCAGCCACAAAATACCACCAGTACCTCATGTAGTCAGACCAGAACCTCTACCAGTTACACTCTTCCATGAGTGAGAACACTCCTGTTCCAGAATTATCTTCCTTTTTATACTTGCTAGCTTATTGTTTAACAGACTTCAGAGGAAATTAATCATATCTGTGTTAGCCCAAAGCTACAAAAAAGCATGTAGGAGAATCCTGCATATTCCATGGTTATAGTAGGCTATTCATCTCAGTAATAATAACTTAAAGAAGTCATTCAGTAATGAGAATTTAATGACAGTGTAACTCTTGACTTTTTTTCAATTCCTCCCCTACAACTATTTCCCAGTGATTTGCCTCAGATTATTTCTCAGAACATTCTCTACAGGCAATTCTGGCAGCAACAGGACTTAAAAACAAAACATGCTAAATGTCATGTGGAGGTTCTCCCTCTTGTCTTGGCTGGTGGAATTTAAGTACATTTGAAATATTGATACCTCTCTGTAAGAAAGTTCATCAGCACATGGACATTTAATCACTTGAAAGTTACTTAAAGGACAATGCAATGCAGAGGGAATATCTCCATGTTGCCAGAGTAATCAATCTTTATAGGGCAACCATAGGTTGAAATATGAAATATTTCACTATGAAATAGTGGATTCCTTTCATCCTATTATGGCCCCTGTGTAAGGAGTCAAGGTGGAGAACACCAATTAGTCAWATGTGTCTCTCATTAAAGTATGTTTGTTTTCTTGTCTGCTTCTAGGGAAATAAGGTATGATTGTCTATGAATACTGGCACAAATTCACCTGAAGCACTACTGCTGTAAGAAAACAAGAAGGGTTTTACTAAAATAATGACTACTTTCTTCTCAGCTAAGTATTATCAAGCTCCTGCACTATAACATGCCAAAAAAGCTACAGCAAACCAGCTGTGTCCTGGGTTGATGTGTCTGTTCATAACTTYAGAATGCATTCATCATTGCTTGAAGTTTGTTGTTGTGTAATTTCAGTAACTAAAGAACAGGAAGTTACCAGTCAGGACAGAGTGAACCCTGCCATAAGTGTTGTTCTTAGAGCTGCTACAACAGAAAACTGTTGTAAMCTATCAAACAAATGTTGCAATGGTTGTGCTGCACTTACAGGTATTAAAGCTATTCTACTGCCCAAAAATACAGTTTTTGTCTTGAATCATTCCCAAGATGAACCAATCTTAAAATTATTACCCAACACCTGCAGAAAAATGCCATTAATTCTGGTTGGGGGTTTTCAGCAGGAAATTGGAGTATTTTAAGGCATTTAAACATTTTATATGATTGCTTCTGTAAATGCTATTCCTTCTTAATAATGTCACAGCCCTGAATCTTCAGAGTAAAATGCATTATCATTATATTTCCATAACTGTTCTGATCTAAACTACTGTTTATTACACTGGGATTTCAAGTGGAAAAAACTCCAAATCCAATAATAAAGAAAAAGAACCAAAAAAAACCCCAAAACACCCCCCTCAAAAAAATCCCCCAAGAAGTATCTCATTCAATTATTTAAGAGCAGACAAAATGCAAACAATACATTCCCCTGTGTTTTTTCACCAAGTCATGTTACTGGAATTTAAAAAAACTAAAAAGTCTTAGAAAAGGAACTCAAATTCAGTTTTAGTTGTATTCTCTCCAGGCCTCGAGAACATATATGCAAAAATTAGTTCTCATAGTAAGAAAACCCCTATAAAAATCTTTAAAAAACCCACAAACGATGACAGACATGGTTGCAGTATTTTCTTTGGAGTATCAAAAATACTTTAAAATTGTATCTTACCTGAGAATTTCTGGTTTAAAAAAAAATCCTAAAAAAAAAATCCCAATATGGAGTGAGCTATAAATGCAACATTATTCCCTTAAAGGAGTTTAAAGCATTTTATTAAGTTGGACTTGATGATCCCTGTGGGTCCCTTCAMATTCAGAATATTTTATCATTCTGTAATATTTAACAAGTTGGCTCACCTGGAGGTGCACTGTGCTTGTATTCCAGCTTGTGCTGGGGRTTCTTCCTGCAAAGAAGAAAATGGTAAAAGCTTGATTCATCACCTTGGTCTACATTTAAAAAGTCCAAAATTTCCTGGTATTTTATGGATAATTTTCAAGGCACAGCATTTAGATCAGTCAAGTAATAGCCAACAGATAAGGACAACAAAATTAACACTAAAGCCCTTCCAATTATATCTGTTGCTTCATCAAAAGAATGATCAATTTTTCATGAATTTTTCTCCTTTCCTCTATCCCCAAAGAATGAAACATAGATTAAGAAATTATTAACTAATACAACACAGAGGTTGTCTTATCTGGAAGGAAAGACAGTTTGGGTTTAGATAAAGCATTTATTGCACTACTGAGAAGTATATTGGCAATTTCATTACTGATATAAGCCTGAGATGGGAAATGAATCTCATAGGTGTTTTTAAGAGAACACCTTTTTTTTTTGCATCAGTTTAATATCACCAAGGCTTTTTCTTAAGAGCTGCCCTTGTTTTGTTACATTTCATGGAGGACATGCTCTTTAGGATAACCACACTTTCCAGGAGAAAATGTTTCTGTGAAGAAACAATCTTTAACAGCACCCACCAATTTCAATATGCTCCCACAGAAGTGCTATAGCCTCAAAATATATCTTCTTGTAATAATTACATAAAGCCTGGTAAATATGTAAAACCTAGATACTGAAAAACAAATCAACCACAACAATATTTTGAAGAAAATCAACAGTGCTTAAAAGAAAGAGCTGTCAGCCATAAACTGGATTTTATTGTTGYTACCTCAATTATGCTTTTGAACAAATCAAATACTGATGAAAATAGCTTTTGTACAAAATCTCAACAAATACATTATCAAAATTTAAATAAAAGTTACAGATCAAGAACAACATGTAGCAATAAWTTTTTTSTTTATTTAAAATAACAMTTTACTGWATATTGAAAAAAAATACAGTGTTGATCTCTAGGACACTGAATAGGTTCATTGAAAGTTTTTACCTCTGTCAGTTGGTATCACCAACAAAATAGTGATTTTTTTCTATGTCACTGTTAAAAATACCCAATACAGAGTTGGGTGCTTTAAATGTAGCAGTCTGACCACAGTAAATTTCAGAAGGCTACAGTCAAAGGTAATATCAAGAATTAGTAATTTTTCTATCATCATTGTGTGACTGCTGGGGAAAACATTCTTAACCTGCAAACAAGAAAAAGGCACTTTACASAGTGTTTCTCACCTGTAACAAGCTGTTCCATATGGACACTCAGGCCGGTTGTCATTGTCATCCTGAGCCATCATCACCATGTCATGATAGTCGTCATCATTAGGATGACTGAAYTGCTGGAAGTGAACGGGATTCTTCCTGCAAAAGACAAATATACACTGAAACGGACTGTTCCATTTCAACACAAGAAGTGGAGATAAAAAACATGTTACTGAATCATTGACAGTTCATTTTTGTGTGGTTACAGAGAAGGAGGAGCTTTTAATGTTTAACTTGATGCAGAATGTAAGACCTACTTTCAGGATAACAGAAGGAATTTTGTCTTAACACTTGCTGCAACAGAGGTTAAACAAAGAATTTTCCTATTTCCCATCAGCTTTAAGTTTCAGACCTCTAACACATATAAAACAGGTTTTATTTGAAATAACAAATTAGCATGCTGACATGAAGCTGTACCATAAGACATGAACAACTCCACATGTAGCTGAGTCACACCAGTGCATGACCAGCAGCCACAACTTCTTGCTCTACAACACTTGACTCAGAGGTGAACAAGTAGGGAACACAAATTTATTAATCACTGAAAGAACATTTCTACTGCTTTCTTCTAGGCAAGAGGTCTGCACACACAACAGGCAAGACTAGGAGGTCATAAAAATCACTTAAAGTAGAGTTTTCTTTTTTCTAGCACTGTTGTAAACGATGTTAAAAAGAACACAGAAAACCAGTTTGTGATTTCAGGAGAAATTCATGACCAATCAAAACATGCTACAAAATAATTACATCAAAATTGACATACTGGTAGCAAAAGCAAATCTCTATACTTTTTCCCTCTCATATCTTAGACACTCTTTTCCCAAACATAATACTGAGAAGCAAGAAATAGGAGATAYTTTAGTAAATTATTTTCCAAAAGACATGCACAAAATATTTAGTAATTGCCACAATTATTCCTTGCAAATTGAGTGCAAATTAAAAAAGTGAGCTGCCTGCCTTTAGCAGAAGGAATGACAACTTTCAGCTACAGAGTACTTGCTACTTTAACTCATACTTATTACATTACAGCTGCATTGAGAAGCAATGGAACATGCCAGTGACATGTGTTCAGCCGCCTCCATATACAGCAGTTTCCTCATTGATCAGAGAAACTCCTTTAAATTCACAAGTACCTCTTCTGAACTTCATAGAGAAGAGTCATTATTCATGTCAGCATTTCAACTACACCATAAGAAAAGAGTATTTGTTTTTTTACAAAATGATGACTTAAAACACTGTGAGCTCCACCGGCCATTCAGGCCTCCTTTTAGCATTTGAAAAATACTGGATATTTAGTATTAATTCCTTAAATCTCCATCTGCAGTATATCTTTCACTCAGAAAACTCCTCAAGCAAGTTACAAACTCTTCAGCAAGCCAGTTATCAAAGATCCAATATCCCTTGGATCTACTTTTATAGGTAACAGGCTTCTTGGCCTTTTGTTGCTTCTGCAAACTGTAGGGAATTAAACAATGTTTTGCTAGAAACTATTGCAAAGTTGCWGTCTTTTATTCCATGACAAATTCTCATGAAACAACACTTATTGTGACAAATTCAGGCTGGCTGCCTATTTCTTTCCCCATTTGAAAATAAACAAGATAAACCCAAGTCATTTTGGAGGCCATTTGCTTTGTTTTCTCAATGCACAGAGCTAACATACTTGCAGTAACAGCAAGAATTCTCAATCACAATTGAGATAATAACCACAATTTATCCTGTCAAAGGGAGACAGCAGGAACTAATGTTCTTGGAAGTAATTTTAATCTTTATTCCTACATCTGGATGCAGCATCCCAGTTGCCAAGGAAAGAAGGCCTAATAGCTGTCAACTAGCCAAACTATTGTATTTTAGGAGATGTCCACTTCCTTTTAAAAATTTGCTTCAAAACCTAGTCAGACAACACCATACAGCATTTATTGAAGGAGAGGGAAAAAAAAAACAAGTATGGGAAAAATGAGGAAGAGCAATCAAAAGGTTGTGATGCACAAGTCCTTGTCACTAGACTTCAGGAGTCTTTCGGCAGTTTGATTCTTTCAAAAGCAGTGTTTTCAAATTCATAAATAAACAAACTGAACAATGTGTTACAAATCTATTTCCTAAAAGTTTAAGACAAGCATAAGAGAAATGTAGTCAAATAACTAGAACACTTAATCTAAAACACCTTTGCCACCAATGCAAAAACAACTAATTAGGAGCCTTGAATTAAAAGTAAATACAGACTACAAAGCACATTTCTTTTGCTGTAAGCAGAAAGGTTGAATCTTGTAACATTTTCTGAAGATCAAAGCTGACATTTTTGATGCTCCCTATTTACAAATTTCTCCAACTAAGTAAGRCTGTTATTTGTTATTTCAGAGCATTATTTTATTTTTATAAAGCGATACTTTCCAAATGCATAGCTGCCAAATATTTCACAATCCAGAGACCCAGGAAAAAATGTGCACTAACAGACTGCTACTCCMTATTACCAATACCTAAAAWTTGCCATCCTATTTCATCATATCASAGCAWTAAATCACTTTAATAYCCATACAGGGCAAAATTTGTCTGASSAAAATTCAAAGTAGCTAAAGCAAACCAGAGGCTGCATTTGTACTAYTGGATCAGCTGAACTGTCTAATAAAACATGTTTTTGTCATAATCATTAAGAGGAAAAAATGAGATATGTGAAGCTACATGAAAACCCATGYGATGTGCTCATGAATACACAGCTTTACAATTATGATATACACAGTTATCTCAGCCTCAGGCCCACCAAACATACAGGAACCCATTCACTTGTCCCTGTTTGCTTCCTAATCAAACTCATCTGTTTTTCTTACTGCTGAAGCCCCTTGCGGGAAGATTAAAAAAAAGTCGCAGGATCCCCTATTTCCTGGATTAGCCTTATCTTTTGTATTTACAAGGTACATGGGATTATCTAGAGCTCAAAACCTTTTCCTAAATGTAGTTCTCAGGTCACTAGGCATTTTCTAGACCAAAAAGTACCTCTGGATTTCAACCTTCCTTTCAATATAACATTACAGGATACCACAGATCTTTCTGGGCAGAAAGAACTAACCAGGAGGCCAAGCACCCAACACTAGTATTTTGGAACTTTGYTGCAACATTTGTATGACACCACCTCCATCTTGATATGAATGGGTGAAAAAGAGGAAAAAACCCAAATTGTTCCTCACTTGCAGTATTTCCAAAGATTGACCAGGTAAGGGTCAACCTCGAGCTCCTAAGCATGCTTTGTTCTGGTTTTAGGGGGGACTTAAAAAAATTGCAGAAAGGCCAAGCAATAATAAAATTAATTCTTGATTATTTAGGGATGACAAATAATAAGCATTTTAAACATTCAGATCACAAAGCAGGGAGTAACTTCAATAAACACAATAATCTTCCATGTCAGTCTCACCTGCTAATAAAACAAACCTACAGGGTCTGTGTCGGGCATTTGAACTTTCTACATTTCCTCTCCCTGTTGGTACCATGTGCAGTACATACAGGTCTTTTATTTCTTTTCTTTTTTAAATGGACCTTTATCTTTTATTGCCTACAGTACTTCCTCCCTGGTTATATTAGCAGTTAGCAAGACATTCTAACTCCTCATTTTATCCTTCTACAATTATTTTTCTACCATTTGTTTTTCTCATCAGTCCTGGGTTCACCAAACTGTTTTTTTTCCAAAGCAAAGCCTGTAACAACTTTACAGCTTTCTCTTCCATAATTAATACATTACTTCTAAATAACATGCTACCCCAAACTATTTTTAATTTTGCTTTACCTGTAACAGGCACTTCCATACATGCAAGGTGTCCTCTTATGCTGGATCTGTTTGGAGCTTTCTGAAGCATCTGCACTTCTGGTTGAATCAGAAATCTCAGTGTTGTAATCCAGATTTGCATCAGGTTCAAGAATCCCTTCCTGGGCACCAAAATACTGAGAAGTCCTGCCCAAGTGAGCTTGTTGGCTTGTAGAACCAGTAATCTGCTCTTTGTTTTCTGTTTCCACAATTCTATTGTCTTTACTGGAGGTCTGACCTACTCTTTTAGACCATTTGCTATGCAACTGCCTATCATTTTTTTCCAGAGAACTTCCACGGTKTTTTGTTGCAGTCTTGCCATTTCCTTCCATATCTCTGATGGTATTCTCAAGAGGAAATTCAGATGTATTCTGTGGAACAAGGTTACATTTTGAAGAACCTGAAAATGTACACTCCTCAGAATTAAAACCTTCAAAGTCAAACTGTGCCTCATTATCCCTGCTTTCAAAATCATAGTCATAGAACAGCCCAGGTTAGAAAGGACCTTGAAAGATTGTCTGGTCCAGACTTGAAAAATCTTCTACACCACTTTCAAAACTCAATCTAACTGCTAAACATAGCTGCTGAAGTTAAGAAATTAAGAAAGTTAAGAAAACACACATAGCACACASTCTTAAAGAAAAACTGATCCTACAGCTTCCATCCTCAGCTTCAGTTCACTCACAACATAACCTCTTCCTCACCACCTCAGTTTGTGAATGGTTCAAGGACTAGTTTTAAATGAACTTCCAATTAAAAGTACTGCTCATGAAAAATTAATGAAGATTATATACGTGAAGATGTAGTAGACTGTAGAAGAACGTAGATTCCTACCCAAGAATAAAATTATTAGAGAATTACTAATTGATTTTACTAATTACTTAATAATTTAAGTACCAWGATATATGAAAAATATATGTATTTATCTATATAGAAGATAATATGGGAACTCAGGATACACACCATGAGGTTAATATCACCTCACCTTAAATGCCTTAGCTGATGACTCTAAATCATGACAGACTGTCATGGACACCATTAGGCAAATATTTCACTTTTGACACACACAGCATTTTAAATTTTAAACTTTTAAATGTACATTTAAARTAAGAGATGTGTTTTCTAGAGAAAGAATATGAGATACACAACTGAGGAAAGAACACTATCTTGACAATTGAGACAYTACCTGCAAGCATATCTACATTCTAAGCTGAAGTACTTTGATACATCATGCAACTATTCAGAGGTCTCTACTCTGTATATATTATTATCTATATTCCCCCTCCAGTAAATTCATATTTAGTTTACAGAGATGTGTTTGGCAGAGCTTGAAAATCAGACGGTGATTTCCTATTTTTTGTTCCTTTCAATGCAAGTCTCATAAAATGTTATCCAAAACCAGAGACAATTTCATTGGAGCAGCAACGTGATTAAAAAAGGGTAAAGTCAGCATTAATATCAGATGATCCTGACAGACACATATTTAGTGAYTCAACTTAGAGACAAAGATAACTCCCAAAATCAAGCTCAGCGATCAACTGCAACTTAAGAAATAAGCCTTGCTTTGCACAAGGAGGCATAAATTACTGTAATTTGCCATCCCCACTTGTGAGYTCTCTACCACGTATTTCAACCCATTGCCTCTATAGTATATAAAGAGACAGAACACATTTTTTAGGATCACTCGCACACCAGGCTGCAATCCAGGGAAACCAAAGCCACCCGCGCTCAGCACTGGGACAGCACCCGTGGGGTCAACGCTCCCTCTGGCGGCTGCTGCCAACTATAATTCAGACTTTTTCACTCCTCCCTACACAACATTTTCTCAATTACATCAAACACGACAGCAGTGATTTAGATCTGAAATCCAAATTACAGTCTTTCAGAGCTCTCTGTGGTTATTACTCTTGTTTGTCCTAATCCATCAATTTTTTTTTAAATCCAGCAATGTTCTGAAAACAATTTCTTAGATGGTGCTTGAGATGAAAATGATTTATGAAACTACTAGATGAAAATAAGTAAGGCTTCTTACACATTGCAAAATTGACTAATTCATTCTGTAGTTGCTCATTTTATAATCTGACAGAGAAAAAATTGCTCAGCAGCTGTTATTAATGCACCTAGAGAACCACTGATATACCAAAACTATTCAGAAGGCTTTCTCTCCATGAGCAGTTTATTTCAAGTAACCTTAAAACCAAAACTCCAATAATTTTCAGTGTCAAAAGAATTTTAAGTATTTTATCAGATCCTAGAACAGACCCAGGCAGTTCTAATGCCACATGTCAAAAACATCTCCCCAGGTAGTTAAAGGAAACAAGTCAGTGAAACCCTMCATTTACTCTGACCAGAATATAATTTGTCTTTAGCAGTGGTCCTTCTCTTTTTGCASGGTGTTGTTAGTAAGGATTTGGCTGCCTGTAAATGCAGCTGTACTGTGAGGCAACAGAGACACTGGACCAGCTGAACCAAAGGGTCAGTTCACACACCACAAATAATTTTGGGTTTCAGGTTACTTTTTTTCCCCCTTTCCATTTTTTTGAATTCGATTTTGAGATGGTGGCATAAACACACTTCCTTTGAAACACAGGAGCTGCTGAGCCACGTATCATCATTATTTAACCACAAACCCTCACCTACCAGAATGGCAATAGTTTGAGCAAAGCCCAGGGTCACATTACATCAGCATTACAATATCCCCTATCCCCAAAGTCTCTCAGAAAAAGAAACCACAGGCAGCAAGCACTCATAGGAGCAGTGCTTTTGCCCATGTCTTCCTGCCTCTCGCTATAAAGCTCAGAGTCTGGTATTTCTATGGGACATTTGGGGCCCAAGTCCCAGATGCTTTGAAGGAAGTGCAGAAAAGCAGATCTTTGAGGCTTCCATGATCCTGACTACAGAGCTATCTAAAGGACTGGTACCTCAAAACAACAAATCACAAGTGAACACATAAAACACATAAAGTTATCTTGTAGACCCAACCTTCAACATGACATTGTCAGCTACATTCTCATTTTTTGCATTATCATGGCTCTGCCCTGAGCCAAAAAGTTACCTGAGATGAAGGAACAGGGATGGAAAGGCAGCTCCTTTTCCCTTGATCTTGCTCTCCACCTTCAAAATCACCAACAGCTTCTTCAGAAGCTAATCTTCTTTTCTGCTGCACATGCATTTCTGATTTTAATGTCTCTGTATGATCTTCTTCCCTTTCTTGGCCTTTTTTCTTCCTGCTACCTTAAACAAAAGAAAAAGGGTACTTTTGGAATGCAACTTTTTCAGTGAAATCCTGACACCAGAAACCTAAAGCTACATCAAAGCAGGACACTGGGCACATGGCCTGAGAAACATCATCAGTTGTGAAAATCACTTTTTAAACAGCTCCAGTAGTGTTTGCACATACCCCAGCTCCCTCAAAGCATGACCTTCAGATATGTCTCACCCACACAGCTCCAAATCTCAACACCGACACAATCAGTCTTTGAGATAAACATTATCTTCACACATATAACAAATGTTATAGTACTGGTGGAATTTATATACAAAATAGGCAAGTTTACAGGAAAGGACTCCAGAACATTCAATACCCAGCTGTATAAACAAAGTTTACTATCTGGCATTAAAAAACAACAACAAAAAAAAAAGAACAGAAAGAAAATTAACTGATGAGAAAGCTCTATCCCACCCAAAGGACTGATGGCAAATGAGACAAAAGAAGTCAGTCTTCTTCAGCTGCCCCATACAAAGCATAGAAAGAGAACAAATTAAATCTTTTTATAACCACCATTATAATTTAAAAAAATTATATCAAAGCATATTGGTGTGCAATCATTATCACACTGCAAACCTACCTCCTGTCATTAGAGGCTCRGAAAAACTCTGTACTGGGAGATCTCCTTCCAGCATCCAAGATGGAAGCACTCTCTTTCTTTGAATAGATTTTGACTGTTKGCTTTCATTATCATCAGAAAAAGGAACCTGAAACAACATTTACTGTTTAGTGCTTTTATTCAGTTACGGAAGAGGAGGGAAATTAGATCATGGTTTGTACTCAGTGATGCTCTGCAAACACAGCCTGGGTAACCAACTACTTTTGTATGTGGATCATTGCTCAATTTTTTTTTTCCCCAGTTCCTACTCACTCAGAAAAACAACATCTATAGTAACCTTCATGTAGTAAAAACATAACAAAACTTCTTACATCTTTGGAATAAGTATCCAAAAGGCTACAAACTGAAAGTTTMATAAAAGAATTTTACCAGCATCTTGTTCTAGAGTTTCCACACATAAATATAACAGAAAAAGAAAGTTTAACAAAAGCCTATTCATCCAAGAAAAATAAACCTCAAACCTCCAAAAACCCACAAACAGAAAAGTCTTTCTAGCATTCCTACAGTTCTTTTCTCCAGAAAGCAACCAGACTCTAAATCTCTAAATCTCTAAATCTCTGTAAAAATAATGCAAATACACCAAATCACATTCATTATTTACTGAAAACAGCACCATTGGTTCGAATTTCCTGAGCCAGTCCACCTCAGGATCTCAGCCACAGCAAAGGCTGATATCTCATTTGTACAGAAAACACAACACCTCCTTAACTTTCAAATGCCAGCTTACAAATATTAAATTCAATTAATAACTTAAGCACCCACCAAAAGTCTAGAGGCAGCATCACTACTCCTCATTTTTGGGGCTCGCTGTACCTCAGAGCTGGAACACGCTGGTTTCATTTACAGTGGAATACAGGACATCTCAAGAGCATGAACACTTTCTGCTTCTTCTGCATCAGCCTTCTGACTTTTTTCTGACAAAACAAAATGAATTTTAGCTACTCACACACTACAAATATAAACATGCACTTTTGACTCAAACATGAAAGTTGATCTGAATGTTTGATATTAACAAACACATTTTGAAACTTACCATCAACATCCTCTTMCATCAACTTACAAAGGAAATTAAATGCACCTTCCTTTTACCTCACACCTGAAATGCTTTGAACAAAATACTCTAATCACTGCTGACCACTGCTGTGGTGCTTTCAGGTTTAGGTACATAATTTATAYTGGTTGTTGCCATGACAGAACTTTGAGAAAGTTTAAATTACAGCTTAGAATTTGCTTTATGGTAAATTTGCACAACTYCCCAAAGCCTGAACCTATACTAAAAGTCAGGAAACAATTTTCAGATGCAGTTTCCAGGATCAGATGCCCAATGAATCTTCCCATCAAGTTCTCACTACAACCTACAGGTCTGCAGCTCTGAGGTGCCACCAGCTACTCAARTGCTGGTTTCAAAAGCCTCAGTTAAGAGCCACTACACAAAAAAAACTTTTAAAGTTGTGAAAGCGCACCCAAACTGCAATTGTTTTGCCTTCAACCCATTGCCTTTCTACTACTCAATTCACCTGCACAAAAAAAATTTATGGAAAAACAAGTCTAATTGCTGCAGTATTTCCTGCACAGCAGCACTGGGGAGTCTCTGCCAACCCTTCCAGAACTTTCTGCACTGCAGAGACAGCACACACTGACAAGCTGAACTTTCTSTTCATTGCCCCATGAAGAGAAACACCAGAGGCACAGTTCTGCCTTCAACCCTACAGCTCTGTAGGGGCTCACAAAATCCCAGGATGGGTCAGGTTCAACGGGACCACAGTGGGTGATCTGGCCCTACCTCCTTGTTCAAGCAGGGTCATCCYAGAGCACAGGGATGGTTCTGGATTATCTCCAGTGAGGGAGATTGCACACCCTCTGTGGGCAAAATGCTCCACTGCACAGTAAAAAAAGTTCCTCATGTTCAGCTGGAACTTCCTGACATCAGTTTCTGCCCATCGCCTCTTGTGCTATCGTTCTGCACCACTGAGCAGAGAAGGGCCACCCTCTTGGGTGTCGTTTTAGAAATTCATACCCATGGAAGAGGTTATYCATCCTCAGCCATCTCTTCTCGAAGCTGAACAGGCCCAGCTCCCTCAGCCTTCCCTCCTAAGAGAGATGCTCCACTCTCCCGATAATCTTTGCTGCCCTCGGCTGGAGCCGAGCCTCCCACACCCCTTCCCCCGGGCGCAGCTGCAGTGCTGCCCCTTTAGACCCACGAACCACCCCGGCCCTGGGAGCAGATATCGCTACCTCTGG